CTGAATTTTTTTCCCCAAAAATTCTGCAATGTCTTGATTCTGCATGTAGCTCAGCTTTCAGTAAGGTATTTAACTTATCAAAATTATGTTTTATCCATATTAATAATTGTATATGCATGATGAGTAGCAGATTTGAAAGGCAAGTCAAACAGAAATTCCACTCATGAATGTACAAGGTTGAGAAACGTTTTATTAAAAATCCTGCATTTCTTTTTTACAATACTTTAAAAATGTTGCTTCAAAATATTTTTTACCTAACACTTAGAGTTCCTAAAAGTGTTGTAAACTATAATAAATTAAAATTTCAGCTCAACTTTAACTCTAACTAGTTTAAAAATGTGGAAAACATGAATTCAGTAAAGGAAAGTGGTTTTACCTGCCACTTGAAGCCACAAAAGTTAACTAGAACTCTAATGATGAAACCTTACTTGATTTAACACACATTTCAACTAATTTTCTTTCAGTAACCAAGTCTTTCCTTTCTCTTTTTCAAAATTGAATAAATAGAAAAAATAATATACGGTTTTGAGTTCACGATATAGTTTACGATATATACTTAAAAACTATCGGATATTTCATATAAACCTACAAGATCAGGTAAAATATAAAACGTTCTCCGCTTAACGGTATTATAAAAACACAAGCTTTCGACTTTCGGGCGGGCGAAACGATATGAAGGCGCTAAAAATTCTAAAAGATGGTGTTGTATTATTTTGTACGGGTTAAGTCATTCAGAGAATTAACATACAAATTCCAAACTGTAGTATAAAAAAACTATAAACTAGGACAATAATTACAACCAGCAAATGTAGGGGGAAAAAAATGTCTTGATCATCACATTTTGTGTAAAGCTCCGTCGATACCACGCCGGAGGAACTTGAACCGACGCAGCTTTATTTCAACGGTTAGGCCTACTGTCCACGCTAATCCGTCACGAAAAAAAGAGCTTTTCGAAAACGCTCTTCAAACTGGAGAAATTTGAAAACGTGGCTTTGCGTGTGGACAGAAAACGTTTTGAAAACGGAGATTTTTTGAAAACGATGACAGCACGTTATTCATGATATTTCTCTGTCCGAGGTTTACTCAACCACAAATCCAAAATGACCGGTGATTGTTGCATTTTCAAATTCCTTCGGCGTGGTGTAAACGAAAACATTCGATGCGTTTTCAGAGTGATAACTCCGTTTTAAAATTCCTTCGTTGTAATGTGAACGGGGCCTACAATGAAGGCCTGCCAGGGGATACACAGTTTCCATTGATCCCTTAAGAAGAATCCCCATTTTTTTCTTTGTTCCCTTTTAATTAGTTCATGAATTGTTTAGTAAAATGTTTTGTCAACTTTCCAGTTTATAGTAGAAATATCTCTTGGTTTCTCAAATTAATCCAAACGCTATCCCTCATTCTTTGTGAAATAACTATCGTTCCCCCCTTGGAATGGCGGCCTTGCAACGGTCAGTTGATAGCTGTCATTTTGACCCAGGCCTTCCAGTCTTGTTTCCAGCTCTTCCTCTTGCCTAAATACACGCCACCAGAACAGCTGCATCTCATTACCTTGTGACTGGTTCCAAAAATCAGCATTTCGTAATGCTCAGTGGTTTTGTTGTGATCTATGATGTACTTTAGCTTGATGGTTTTCTTCTCGAACTCGTATGTATTGTCAACGGGATCCACAGCTGATGAATTCTGTAATTGAACAATAAGGCCTGGTTTTTGCTACGACATAAGCACAAACACAAGCACAAGCATTGTTACAACAGTCCTGAGGACGAGCACAACACAAGCACATGCAGAACAAACATTTTTGTTCTTCTTGTGCTTGCACTTATTGTTATGTCAACGCGCTGCTTTAAGCATAAGCATAAGCATAAACATAAACATCGCCCGCCATCTTTTTTTACGTATCGAAGAGAAATGGAACTTAAGATTAAGGCAATTATCCATTCTGCTCATGCGTACTTTCTCATGTTGGCGTCCTCACTAAGGTTATGCTTACGCTTGTGCTTGTGCTTGTGCTTGTGCTTGTGTTGGGCTTAAGAATTTAAGAACTCAGAACTCACAACTTATTGTCTAAAACATGCAGGGTATCACTTAAAATACTTGGATGACCGCGACATGCAGAGGCTCCGGCTGGCGCAATTCTAGTTGCCCAGCAACGCTTCAGACATGTGGCATCAGTCGCGCGACAACCAAAGACACGTCTGGGAAGAAAATTAAATTAAGTTCTGTCACGGTATTAAAAATCATGCTGCTGTAGTAGAAACCCTCTTAAATTCAAAGATTACAGTACTATTCTACTAAAAGGAAACCTCTACTTCTGCGGTAAACTGCTATTGAAACTGGTGAAATATTTTAATAATACGAATTTAATAGGAAAAGCATTTTAAGTGTTAATTTTTAAGTTGCCATTTTCGATCAAAATTGCCACAATTCAAAACACCTGCCCATTCTTCCTCGCAAAGAAGTAAAAGCCTTACCCGCGGGAAAATTCAACACTTAATCAGTTAAATTTGTATCAAATATTTTCGTAACACTGGAACGATAGAATAGTTTTCCTTTATTTTATGAAATCTCCAATTTGAATATTTTTTTAAGCAGGAATTAAATAAAACTAATAACGACATTTTGTTTCGGCAGTGAAGGATTTCTTTACAGTGTAATTTAGTCAGCCTGTCTATGTTTTAACGAGCTTTTGGTGGCTCTCTCCATCACTGGCTATGCTTTGCCCCAAGAGTCACTCTTCTTAGATTTCACGGTAAATAAAAGGTATTTACTTTGTGAGGGCTTCGGGGATGACTGTGGTTTTGTAGAAAACCGCAAACAAACAAACAAACAAACAAACAAACAAACAAACAAGGAAAACAAGGAAACAACAACAAAAACCAGAACAAGGACTAAAAAGAAACGACAGCAACAGCAACAAGATTAAGATGGTGACATTTGAAATTTTTATCGAAAGCGGGGTGATATGCAGTATGAACCGACAAAGATTACGTAAAATCTTTGCAAGTATTCGAGAGGCTTACCTTCACCAGGAGCTTTCTCTGACCCTCAGCCAGGATGTGATCAGGCATTCCGGCGGGACGTAAACTGAAGTGAAAGTTATCTCCTGTCTTTTTTCTTTGCAAGATGAATTCTGTGTACAAAGATCAACGTAAACGTTGAAAAAACGGCAGGAAACTGCGGAAACCCTGTGCAAAACAAAGTCCCGGAGGTGAAACGGTTGGGACGGGGTGAGGTCTGTCATACGCAAGCGGAAAGGATGTTTGTCGAAAACTGCGCAGAAATACCATTAATTACTACTTGGTAGCAAATATTATTTTCAGTAGCATGCATATGATTGAGCTCATTACTACTCTTTGAAGATACTAATCGGGAATCTTTTATTGAGTCATTGGCTCAGTCGGTCGATCGGTCACTTATTCAATCAGTCAGTCAGTCAGTCAGTCAGTCAGTCAGTCAGTCAGTCAGTCAGTCAGTCAATCAGTCAGTCAATGAGTAAGCAAGGGAAGAAATGGGTGAGTGAATTTATGAGTAATTGAATAAATGTTTGATTTTCGAAGACGTGAGGGTTGATTAACATCTTAAAGTTACTTTTAATTGAAATATATAGAAAGCCTTGTTGCACTTTGAACGGCACCCGAGATTGCTCTCCGAATGCACTGGGTTGGTCGGGCAATGGGAAACAAAATATTTCATGGTGATGGCCATATGTCGAACAAGACTGGCTTAGAGAGTTTATCTTCCTCTCGGGCACCACTCTGCAATTACACACAAATGCAAAATGTTCTGCGGTACGTACTTGTGCCCTGTTCCTCTTGCCTCCCGGTAAATGACAATCTGAATTCGTTGCCATTCTCAGTAACCAAAAGGAATCGCCTGGATCTGTTTCGCCGCGCAAACGGTTCTAAAGTAACTGTCCATGTCATTGGTTTGCATGATACATTGCACCACGTAAAGAACTGGAAACTCACAGTCAGCAGAAGCTGTTCAGGATGAAGAAGAAAACATAAAGTTCGGACGAGCATTTCATTCCCAAGCCAACATTTCCAAATTTCAGTTCGATCCTGAAATGCACGAGCATTCCTGAACGAGTTCTTGAGAACTCCTTGGCGCTTCTTGGGTAAACAAATAACATATTTAAATATTTACATATTTACATTTTATTGTATCATCCTATCCACCCCACCCGTCACGCATTTCACCTTTACTCTCCCCTCGCTCTCCACTTAAGCCAAGCATTTGTCATTACCTAACATCAGGCGCCTGATGAATCAGATGAGACTGACGTGTCTCCAGAGCCACCGTTTTCCTCGTACCAGCGCCCCACCGGCTTAGAGGGACAGGCGCCTTTGGGAGCAAGAATGGCTTTCAATTGCCAATGCTCTAGTTTTATTAAAAGGGCCCAGGCTGCTAACCACTTAAGCTGGTCTCGTACTCTAAGTTACATTTTATCCTGGAAAAAGGATTTCAAGTTCACGTCTGCTTATTGGCTCAATATGGGTCATCTCTCACGAGTAACGTAATGTAGGTGGTGAAAGATAGTTGGCTTAAATGGAGATGGAGGGGAGAGTGAGGGTAAAATGCGTGAAATACATTAAAAACCTATCGCTGCAATATTTCCTAGGAAACGAAACTGTAAAGTGTGGTCACACGTATTCGTTTTTTGCGTGACAAGTGTCACGCCTACAATGCCATGTGTTATTTTATTTATTTATTTTTTAAAATACGGTTAAAATTGAACTTTGCAGTCTTGAAGGTCTTCATCCAAAACCTATGGGTTGTTTCGAAACTTCTAGATCTGCGCGGTTTAGTAAGTCATTTCTGAGTTGCTTTTTACCTCTGTTTCAAAACGAGTTCTGGTGCAATTCCCTTCATACGGAAACGAGATTTTCTTTGTTCAAGATTTCATATGAAAGGAAGTGAACCATGTCATGACACGTTTTGAAACAGAATTAAAAAGTAACTCGGAAATGGCCTATTCAAGTTTGGGAGGGAGCTCTTAAACATCCAGACTACCCATCTTAAAAGTGACACGAGTGATTATTTTCCAAGCCGGCACTATCTAGGGTTAGATAAATTATGCTCGAAAATTTGAGCATTATACTTTTGAGCGTCACTCCTATAATCATTGCTTCATGCTCGAAATTATGCTCGTGCCCTAGCATTATGATCAAAGATAAAGGGTGAATTTTGCGCAAAAAAAAAGGACAAAATAGGGGCTAACATATTATTTAATGTCCTTGTTTTAAATAACAACAACGCCTTTGAAATAAGAATGCTCTCATACGGAGCAACAAGAGCTAAATGTCAGCAGTCTCTTCAGTTCGGTTCATGACAAGTGAAAACTGCCTGGGGAGCCAGGCATAAAGTAAGGTAGCCAGGCCTTCAAACAGAAAACTAGGCCTTCAACAAAGCCAAATAAGTGCATAAAGCAGCCAAAAGCCCACAATTGACATTTTTAAACACATTAGTTTGACGCTTTTATTAGCAGGATAATTTTATCAACTTTTACGCTCCCAAACATGGCTATTATGTCGGCATTATGCTCGATGCTCGCACCATAGTATTATACGCGAAATTATGCCAGATAATTTATCTAACCCCAGTGCTACCGCAAAGTTCAAAGAAAATTGACAGGCTATGGCGTGTAAAGGCCTAATCGTCTTCTTGTTTACTGCCAATATGTCATTTGGTGTTATTCAAGAGCTTGGCTCGGAGTAGGTACTGAATATTTACGTCAGTTGTGAAATAGCAACTTGTCTAGATCTGCAAAATAACTACACCTTACCTAGCCAAAATGAAGATGATTCATGACGGAAATTCCCCTCATAATTTCGGGAATTTCCCTTCACGGTGAGTCTTTTGTAAGGTTCAATTTTCTTTTTTCTGGAATAATTCGCTTTAAATTATTGTTACAATTCCGATATCTTGGACGCATGCAGAACTCTTCGCTGAATTTTTCTCTAGTTGCAATAAACAAATTCATTATATGACTGAGAAAATAACTTCAAATAACTTCATGGAGATTGGTTGAGAGTGTTTCAATTTACGGTTAATTTTTAATTTGCACTACAGTCCAAATTAACGCGCTCGCGTTCGTACTATTCTCAGTCATATTATAAATGAGTAATCGTATTAATCTCGGGCAATTACGCCACTACTCGTGATATTTGTAAATTCATTTTGAAATGTCATTTTGAGGAATTTTAAAACAACACTCGCTAATTGCACTCGCGCAGGCATTTACCTATACAAATAAATAAACAACTAAGTATCGATGTATTAGCACTGCTTAACTAATGACGGATACCGCAGACTTAGAAACAAACATAACAATGTACAGGCAAATCACAGAACGCAAATATTTTGTTTGCAATTGTCCTGCATTGCTCAACCCTTTGATACAAAATTTTATGACGAATTTGTATTATTTATAAAGGAAAAGAAACCTACCCCGACCAGCCGTATGGTATCCATGTTTTGGTGAATACACAGAAGTGTCGTAGAACCAAATCAGTGAGTTGTTGGCCCGAAGGATAGTACCAAATCAAAATCGAAAATGAAATTGAAGTAAAGATAGTGATGATGGGTATTTGATATACTTTAACATGCTTAAATGCACATGGGAAAAGTTAAGTTAATTAAATTCGTATTCATTTGCCTATTTTGACTTTATTTACGTCATTTGGTTTTCGAATGTGCATTTTGGCATATTAAAGATATCAAACTATTTTCGCGGTAAATTCCCCGTTTATTAAAATGAAACTGAAAGTGGATGTTAAGAGAAAACTGACTTATATTGGATTTTACTGGTTGTTAATAGAAATCTAATGACAGTGAATACAATTTTAGGCAGATTTATTTCTACGCCGTGAAGCATTCCCTCCACACTAATCTCTCGTTCGTGGTTTATTTACTTTTAGATAATTGATAATATTTATGCTGTATACTAAACTCTGAGAAACGATTTAGCTGGATATATTATACAAACACGTATTTCTTCCATGTTTATTGAAGTTTACTTAAATCTGTGAATCAGGACAAACAACAAAACTTCAACGAACCCTATTTCCGTTGGCATTTACGTTGCTTTCATTTAGGAAACAATCACTAGCTAACATTACATCCGAAAACGTGATTTTAGCTGGCGTGCCTCCTGAGAAGCAATATCCTTAAAGGTAAAAATTTACTTTAGGTTGTATCGAGGTCACACATTTAGGCACAATGAGGAGTTTTCGGAAACTTATTGAAATCTTGCTGACCTTTACATTTCTAACACCTTCAAGGTCCTTTGTTCTCAATCCGTGAGTTTAAATTAAAATTCCTTCCCTGAATGACTTTGGGTCCGGGCCTGAGATGTATGATAACACAGGATGTTCACTGTATCCTCAAATTTGGAGACAACTGAGAATTCCTAAGTGGATTGACTACATTTTCACCACGGTAACTAGCACAAAGCAATCTTAGGCACTTTCGTGGGAGCCCATGGCTATCTAGGAAGCAAGTATAAGTGTACAGGGAACAGTTCTAAGCGGTTAATTAGATGGCAGAGGCATCTTCGAAGATTCAGGTTTCTTTTTACAGTGCGTTTCCTATACGAAAAATTTATGCAGTAGACACATGTCAATTTAGTATTTTGCGCAGTATGTTAAACGTTTTTTATTGTTGCGTTTATGCCTGAGGTACTTTTCTTTCTTCACCTAGGATAATTAAGAAATTTGTATCTGTCCACAGACTCTTCATGGAGCCCACGCCATTCCGAACTTTTTGCGTTGGAATCAGTTCCGGTCCCGGGATCATTTGCGGCACAATTTGGGATCATTTGCGGTTCGGGGATCATTTGCGGGCCTGTACATATACCGGAATATGTGTGCACGTTTGTAAAATGAGTGTTTAGAAGACGTGATTTATTTCTGATAACTAACACATGAGTAAAAAATTTACCCCGTCGATTAGTGGGGTCACGAAAGTGTATCTCACTTGATTATAGTACTGGCTGGGAACCAGAATTCCATTACTGATGTTATGGGTACATGTCTGTGATCGAGTAAATATATTCCAGAGATAAATGAGTGAACATATGCACGGAACTCATTTTGGTTGCAAACTGCACTCTCCGTCACTGAAATCCGAAATAATTCTAGGCTGGAATTACCACACATCTTAATAAATTTAGCGCTGAATAAGGTCATTCAATTAATGAGTTGAGGAATACCAATTTATTTGAACGCCTGGATGATAAGTATCTCTCACAAGCACGAGTGTTGTTTACATCCGGTGACTTGTGGAGACTTTGATATTGCAACTGGGAGTAGAGATGGCGCTTCCCTGGTCCCAGAGGTTTTTCTTGATTTTTCTTCTTTTCGCGAAACGGCGAACACGAGTCGCGAAGCGGCGAGAAAGAAAAACCTCTGGTTACCTTGGACTTGAATCTCACTTTCATGCAGACGCCAGCTGTCAAACGCGTCAA